TGGTTGCTCCTGTCCTCATGATGCTATCTGTGTCCTGAGAAACCCCCTAATCCATGGTAAAACAAACGTGGGGCTGGGAGGAGTTATCTCTTCAGACAGAGGCTGTTCAAAGTCATTATTGGGAAAAATAAATGAGCGGGAGAGAGAAGCAGACTTTGACCAGCTGGAGTAGGAACTTGGTTGTTAAGCCTTGGGCAGGAGGAGGCAGAAGGGTCAGTGTGAGACAAGAGGAGAACACACAGGGAGGGTCAGCCCTGCCCACGTGTGTCCAGCACACTTTGGGGTGCTGGTTTGGGAGGTGCTGGTGATGCTCCCAAGGGACTGAGTGCTGCTGGCCCACTCCTCCTCCCAACCATGGAGCCTTGAGCAGCAACAAGGGCAGCAACAGCTGCTGCTGAAGCTACTTCAAAGTCAGTCCTGCAGTTTGGAGGGCTCCAGGCTGGAGTTGAGCCTGTGGAGATGTTTCACTTCAGAAAATTGGTACTGTACTGGTGTTTTCCCTTTTTGGAGTACTTTTCCAGCAAGGGCTGCTTTTAGCATTTACTGTAGCTTTGAGTTTGTTAAATTTTGAAATGTTGATTGTTTTTTTTCTAATTCCACATGTAACAGCTGTGGAGTTATAGTGCTGCTATTCTAATTTTAGATGGGCTTGGAAATTTTTTTCCCTTTTGACTCTTAAAATACACACAGCTGCAATCGTTTTTGGAAAACATTATGAAGAGCCAAAGAGACATTGCCAACATTTAAAATCACATTTTTAAAAAGATCTAAAGATGCAAATGCCTTTGGTCCTTACTCTTTTTTTCTTTTGAAATGGAAACTTAGTGCCTTGGTAAGTGCACTGGATATGTCATCTGCTGTCACCGTGGCCCTGCAGGTGTTAACATTTGTGTCTTTTTGCATAAGCTGTGTTCCTGTGACTCAGTGTACACTGCAGAGACTTGTTTTCTAATGACCTTCCAGGAGCTCAGACAGCCGGGGTGCTGACTGGCATGGCAGAGTGGTTGTGTAGCACCATCACCTGTGGGACACGGCTCCCCTGTGGCACGTGGGGACAGCACGTAGGGGACAGTAAAACCCATTTTCTTTCGAGGCTGTTCTGTGAGGTTTGCAGGAGTGCCCCGCTCACCCACCGGGCCCCGTGCGTGTGGGGCAGCGGCTCAGGGGCGCCGCGGCTGCTCCGGGTCAGTCCCGCTGCGGGGAGATCTGCTCTCCGGGGCACAGCTCTGCTGTGAGTCTGGAGAAATGACAGGGCAATCTGTGCCCCTCTGGGGAATGGCTTACCGACTGCATATCCATGCTTTCTTTCTTCTCTTGATTTCAGAAACGAGTGCCAGTGCAATGCAGTCAAAAAGAAGAAAATCCAAGTAAATTACTGCATGGAAACATGAGACTTGTAAATGAGTGTGAATTTACCAATAGCAATTTTGAGCTGTGATTTTTCTTTTTTAAATAAAATTCTGTACAGTAAGTAATTTTAATATTATCTGTTCCCAATAAATGATTTTCTTTTCTAAAAAACAGATAAATAGATACAAAAACTGGGTTCTTCTAAAACCCCCTGGATTTGCAAAGTGAAGTCAGGGTTAGCACACAAGGGTAATGTGTTTGTATGAAATGGAAGAGGAGGGGAAGACAATTGTAAATTTATTTGTTTTCACTTTTCATAAACAATTTAGAATACAGGGTTGTCATTTTTAGGTATTAAAATAATGTAATGTGCTGTTGTTTAAGTACTGTATGTGAATAGCAGTCAGAGGGTTTATAAACAAACCCTATGTTGTTTGGAAATGTAAATAATTTTATTATATAGTAGATCTGATGTATTTGTTGTAGAAATGGACCAGTGAAACAAAAAATAAATTTAAGGGTTTATATAATGTGGAATTCCTCATGCTCTAAATAAATGTTATTGTCCTATAAATTGGTTGAATTCTTACTAGCAACAATAGCAGCATCATTCCAAACAGGAGGATTGGAGGGATTATTTAGAGCTCTGGGCCTGCAAGCTCCTTATGTGTAGCTTCAGCAAGGAATTTGTTTAACCACAAACAAATTTATTGATGCAGCTGCTCCTGCAAAGTGACGGAGCAGGGAAGGACCCGCTGCTGCCCCTGAGGCTGCAGGGGAGCAGAGGAGCAGCCTGGCTGCCCACAGAGGGCTGCTCAGCAGGGCACGGGCAGGGATAGCCAGTTCCAAGGGACAAGGGCAGCAGCCTGGCGTCCCTCCCTCGGGCTGCTGAGCTCTGCTGCCATCGGCCCTGGGCATGGGATGTGCTGCCTTGGAAAGTAGGTCAGGCTCACTGTTCTGGGAGCACTGGGGACAGCCCAGAGCCCGAGCTGTGCACACACACTGCCACCTCTCCTCTGTCTTGCTGCATTTTAAAATATGTATCTCAAAATACTGATTAAATATAAATTGTTATTAAATTGAAGTTGTCAGCTTTTACAATCACAGAAATTACCTATTTGTGCACAAGGTAGCAGGCACTAAGTGAGGCCAGTGTCACAGAATCATTGGGGATGGAAAAGTCCTTTAAAACCATCAAGTCCATCTGTTCCCATAGCACTGCCAAGGCCACCAGTAACCCATGTCCTCAAGTGCAGCATCCACACGTTTTTAAAATCCCTCTGGGGATAGGGATTGTCCTGGGAAGCTGTGCCAGGACTTGACAACCTCTTCCATGAAGAAATGTTCCCCAATATCTAACCTGAACCTCCTCTGGTGCAAATTTAGGCCATTTCCTGTCATGCTCTGCCTTGTTCCTTGGGAGCACAGCCCAACCTCACTCCACCCTCTTGTCAGGAAGTTGTGGGGAGTGAATGTTTCCCCCAAGCCTCTTCTCCAGGATGAGCCCTCTCAGCTCTCTCAGCTGCTCCTGGTGCTCCAGCCTCTTCCGCAGCCCCATTCCCTTCTCTGGATACACTCCAGCTCCTCAATGCCTTTCTTGTCATGAGGGGCCCAAAACTGTCTCCAGGATTGGAGGTGTCTCACCAGTGCCCAGCACAGGGCACAGTCACTGCCCTGGTCCTGCTGCCACACCATGGCTGGTACAGGCCAGGTGTCATTGGCCTCTTGCCCCCCTGGGCACACCAGGCTCCTGTTCAGCTGCTGTCACCAACACTCCCGAAGCCTTTTCCACCAGGCAGCTTTCCAGGCACCCTTCGGTGTCTCCATCCTCCCTGCCAGTGTGGCTGCTCGTGTCCCTGTACAGGCACAGCTGATGTGGGCACGGGAGCCCCCCAGTCTGTGCTGGGCCCCTGCTCTCCACTGAGGCTCACCCTGCTCCCTGCTTGGCCTCGCTGCTCCTGTTGCTGCTCAGGTTGGGTGGGAAGCTTTGGAGAATAAGGACAAAGTCCACAAAACTGGAAAGTCTTCACAGAAAAGGTCCACATACCAATAAACCAGGGGAAGAGGGGGAATGTGCTTCAGTTTGTGGGAAATACCGCCCTGTGGGGAACAGACAGGTTTGAGGTCAGGGTCGCCATTTACAGGGACATGGACCTTGGGAAAGAACAATTCCAAGATCCTGCCACTGGGAAGGAGCTTTGGAAGAAGCAAAGGGCTCCTGTAATGGTCCTCTGAGCAGTGCTGGACCTTGGAGCAGCTCACAGTCAAAGCCCTGGAGGAGAGCTGAGCCAGGCTGTGGGCAGGGAGGGCAGCCCATGGGGTAGGGAAGGGATCACTTGGCATTTGGGGATCTGGAATAATATCACCTGTTTTCCACCTCCCACCCAACCACAAGATGTTGGTAATTTAGAGGAGACACAAGAGAGGGCCATGAGGATGGCCTGGGGTGGAACAGCGAACCAAAAGGAGACACTGAGGGAGATGGGCGCCATCGCCCTTTTGTGATCTGCAGAAGATGGAGCCAGGATTTTCTAGACATGCGAGCTGGGACACAGGGATGGACACCACCAGGATAAATGGAAAGAGAGGAGCTTCTGAGTGGGCAGAAGAAACTATTCCCTCTGGGATGCAGTGGCAGGATCTCTCTCTTTGGAGAATTTCAAGCATTGGCTGAACAAAGTCCCGTGGTCTGAATTCAGTACTTACCCTGCTGTGAGCAGGATGTTGGACTGGAACCCTGAGCTCCATCCATCACAAATAACCCTAGGCTTTGTCTCCAGCTGCCAAACTTGGTTTTCCCATAAAAAGGTTCATCAAAGCTATGAAAGCTCGCTCCCAGCTATTTTTTTCATTCCCAGTATCTAATCTAACATTTCTCTGAAGTGCTCTTCCCAGCACCTGGGGGGTCATGGGTGTCTCCTTGGCTTGACTCTGCTGGAGGAGCTGGCACAGCCACTGGGCTGGGCAAGCCCCATCCCACCCCTGCCCAAAGCTGCTCATGGCCATGTCTCCTCTCATCTTGGGTGTCTCCAAGGATGAAGACTCCTCAACCTCTCAACCTGCTCCTGTGGCCAACCACCCTTGCAGTGAAAAAGCATTTTCTTATATTTAAGTGAATTTTTTTTTTTTTTAACTTCAATTTGTGTTCTCACCCTGTCCCTGCACTGAGAATGTTCCAGCTCTGTTTTCTGCACTCCCCCCATCAGTAATCTGCACACAGGGCGGGATCTCCCTGAACTGCCTCCAGCCTGGTCCGTCCCAGCTCTCAGCCTCTCCTCATTTCCAGCCTTTAAGCGCATTGTTGGCATCTCTGCCTCTCACAGGTACTGAGAACATCTCACACTGTGCTTGGAGAAACAGATGATGCTGCAGTGATTGGCTGATCTGGGATTTTCTCAGGGCACTCGACATCTGCTTTAGCTCTGTCAATATCTGCTGAAATGTAAGGTTTGGTAATGGGGAGGGGGGGAAAAATCCCCTCCAACTCCTCAGCCTGTGCTATCCCCTCTCCTGTGTGTCCTTGTCTTCAAAGGGGATGTTTTTCTGTTATTTGTCTCTTAAACCATTGATTTTTTAAAAAAGCATTCCTAAAAAACCAAAGCATTTTGCAGACAGATTTACTTTCAGGCTTTAGAGGAATACACATAAAATAGATTTTAAATATATATTTTTTTATTTCTTGTGATTTTTCTTTATATTAGATTTTTTTTTCAGTCAAGAGACAGCATTACAACCTAACAACCAAAACCAGGTTACACACACACAGGCACACTACACAATGTGTCCCAGGCAGTCGACACACGGCAAATGTTTACACAATGTCCTACGAGGAGGAGACACCCCTTCCCTACGAACCCTGCTTACACCAACTGAACACAGAACACACAGGAAGGACGGATTTCCTCAGCTTCGAGTTCCAGACGAGCTCTCAGTCCTGCAGCACAGGTGATGCAGAAAACGTGGGGCTGGTTTCTCCCTCTTCTCCCGATGCCCCGATGCCCCGTGGTGGCTGTGCCAGGGTAAGGCAGAGCCCGGGGCAGGAGCTGCTCTGCCCGGGCTGCCCCGGGCACAGGAACATTCTCCAGGCATTTCAGAGAAGGCTTAAGGCAACCTTTTCCCTTTTCCAACCATGGAACACCATCTGTCCTGGCACTCCTGCATCCATTGTGCTGCTCCTGCTCGCTCTCCAACGCAGCCCAGTGAGCAACCGGGGTTTAGAGCTTTTCAAAGCTGCCTAAGAGATTTAGTATATCCAAAATGCTAAATGCTTTTTAGAAAAAAAAAAAAAAAAAAAAAAAAAAAAAAAGCTTTTTGTGGCATTCATTCTGTTGGAGTTCTCTTAAAAACCCCACAGTGACTTTGAAAACAACACAGAAACACAGAAATACCGAAAACTGACTCCCTGGTCACCTCTTGCATAGGACTTGTAACTGCAGTTCAGTGATTTATTCAAGTTCTGTAATTGTGTTTAAAAAAGATGCCAAACCATGAAAAAGGGTGAAGGCACATGTACAGTCAGTCCCGCTCAGGGGTGGGTAATGTGTGGGCAAGTTTCACAAGCAGGTACCAGGGGTGGATACATACAGATAGAATATTGCAGTGCTCGGGGGCTCTGTACAAGGACAGTTCTGACACAAGAGAACATTTCACTGGTTTACTGCTACACCTTGTGCTGCTCCCTCATCCCCAGACTTCCAGAAGCACAAAGCTGAGGATAAGAATTCAGTGAGCTCGGGCACAGCTGCTCACAGCTCCCCAGCAAGGGTACATGAGGTGAATGTGAAAGAGCAGAGGAGCTTTGAGCTCCCCTGTGCAGCCCATTTTTAAGCTACACTTAGAATTTACTGTGCTGTTTTCCCTTCCATTTGCAGAGAATAAAATCTTCCCCCCACCATGCAATGAAATAGGGTCAGAGTGGAAGGCAGAAGGATTTTCAGGAAACAACAACATAGGTTCAGCTGCAACATAGTCAAAGCTTGGCAGCTCTTTACATGCTCTGGAGCATGGGGCAGCATCCCTGTAAAAATTATGGGGTTGGAAAAGCAACCCCTTTGCCAGCCCGGGAGGTATGAGCTCAGAATGAGTGACAGGGGACACACTTGGGTGACACCATTCTACACAGAACTGAAAAGACAATCACACATAAACGCCACCTTTGCTATTAAATAAAGCTGCTCATCCTTGTCATCCTCATTCCTGCAAGGAAAGGGTTATGGGTTTAGTTAATGACAAATGTTTTCAAGAAGCAAAAGAAAGGTTGATAGAACAGGGAGCCCTCCTGGCCAAGCGTGTCCAGCTGCCCAGAGCCCATGGCTGGGGAGTGCTCTGGGATCCTGGAGATGAGGGAGGAGAAGGTGGAATCTCCACTGGGGCTGAGGACACCTCTCAGCTAAGAAGAAATTCTTCAGGCAGGCAGAGCCCTTCCCACTGCTGCATCCAGCTCCTACAGCCACGTTCAGGCAACTTGTGGCAGCTGCTCCAGTGATGGGAATGGGATGGGGACGGAGCCCATGAGGATAAGAGGAGGTTACTGACTTTGTATGGAGCAGATCTGAGAGGTGGAAAGCTTCACCTTGAAGAACACAAACCCTGCGGGGATCAGCCCCTTGTAAGGCCCATTCCTGTGGCAGTCCCCTGGGAAGGGGGGCTGCCAGTGCCATGGATGTCCCTCCTCGGGCTCTGGTCCCTGCCTGCAGCTGTGCTGAGGAGGTCACCACAGTCCCGTGGTGCAGAAGGGCTTGGGGGGGAAGCTCTGAGAAGCTGGGGGATGCTGGGGTGCTGATGCTTCCCTCCTGCCACCAGCAGCTATTGCAGCAGCAAGGGAGCAGCAAAGGAGGAGCAGCAGACTGGAGGCTGGGAGTGGTGGCAGCTGACAATCCCTGGTGGCTGAGATCTCAGCTGTGGCACCAGCTGGACATGGGTGGCCTCCTGACCCAGAGACTCAGGGAAGAGTCAAGGATTGCCAGCAGCCATTCCCAGGGCACTGGGGCTTGGTGCTGCCTTCAGAGATATGCCAAGAACCATTTCTCTTGACTTGAGGTGACTTATGTCTTCTTAGTGTTTCCTAACTATTGTTTTTCAATAAACTCACATTAACTTTAATTTCCACTTTATGCAGGGCAATATAATTGATACTGATCCAGAGGGGCAACTGCAAAGCTGTGGGATTCAAGCCTAGAACCTCACTGGAGTATTTTTATTTTTTTCCTTACTGGTGTGGTAAGACATCTAAGTGGGTATTTTGCTTCCCATTAAGGCTGAATAGAAGAGGAAGAAGAACTAGTATGATGTAAATATAAAATTATTGATTAGAAACATGCCTAAAGAGAGAAGATTCCCACAGCAGTGATCTTTAGGATGAGCCACATGTTTATGTTCTGCACAATGAAAATGTGACTCCCATGGAAAGAATTGTTTTCCAAGCTTTTGCGGCAGAGTTTCTTAGAGCATTTGTGAGTGCAAGTTTCAGAGCAACAGGTGAGAAGGACTTTGCCCCTACTCCCTTGGCATCCCTCCAGCCCTGCGGTGCCAAGCAAGAGCCAGAATTCAGCGGGAGAACTTTGTTGTGGCTGCTGGTGAGGGGTCCTGAGAGTGCCGTGGCCACAGCTTGGCCAGTGCAGCACGCACAGCCTCGGAGGCCTGGGGGCACTGGGGGCCCTGGGGCAGCCCAAGGGGTGGCACTTCTCCAGCAGGGCTGTCCCTCCTGATCCCACCATGCTTTGAGGATTTATCCCTCACGCTGGGATGTGGCAGCCAGAGCAGAACCAGGCAAGCAGGGGCAAATCTTACTTGAAGAAGATCCCTGCACCATGGGCACTTCAGTGGTGGGAAGATTCTTCCCTCTGTAAGGGGTCTCACGAGCTCCAGCCACTGCTGAGAGCACTGTCCCAGCCCCCTCAGTGCCCTGCTGCCCTGAGCCTGCGAGCCCAGTACGGGGCTGGGAGCTGAGCTGGGGCTGGAGCCCGCTCAGGTGTCTGAGCCCAGCACTGACACACTGCCCAGCAAAGCTGCCATTTACTGAACAGGGATTTGCCCAGGCCTCTCCACTGGGAATTCTCCCCTTTTTTATGCTTTCATTGCAAGAAATACAAAAATTTCTTTCAGTTGCCTGCATCACCATTTCCCCAGGTGATCATTTCAATGGCTTCCCCATCCTGGTTGTCCCCTGATCCCAGTGCTGTGGTGGATCAGGCCATAACACACAGTCCTGCTGCACTTCCCAAACCCTAGGAGGCTCAGTGCTGAAAATCCATACCTGGTTGTTCACAAGCCAGTCCAAAAAGGGACCGGTCACATTTGGCTGTAAAGGTGAATTTTCAGGTCATGAACAAACGAAGAGGGGCTGCAGCCCAGGAATGATCCCACCACGAATGGCCACAATTTCTTTTTCACACAGGAGTGTCAGAGCACCCTGCAGCTCCTGTCACCGCCACATGATGCCACAGGCCTCATCCCTGCAGCATCCCCAAACCAAACCCCACATTCTAACAGAGAAGCCTGTGGAAAAGACATTTTAAAGACCCTAACAAATAGGTTTGTCCCTGAGTCCATGCTGTAGTTTCCCCCAGACAAGTACAGAAAAGAAAGCAAAATTCATCCCACCTGTCCCAGCAGGACCAGCTCAAGAGCTCCCTGCAAACCAGAATCTTCCCATTGGAAGCATCACACAGTGCATCACAAATACTGGGTGCAAAAAAAATCCCCAACAAACCCATAGAAAATTCAACCAAAACAAGCTACAGAACACCTACACTGGGCTGTGAAATATCTACACATGCAAATGGATGCACACACAGGAAGTTCTCAGTTTTTAAGCACCTTTCATTTGTTTTAAATTTGAGGAGACAAAAATCCTCAGTGAAATGGGGTTTTCTTGCTCTGGCAGCACTGGGCAGGAGGCCTGGGACCAGGCCAGGCCTTGTGCTTGCTGCTGGGCAGGAGCAGAACACTGCAGGTCTTCTGCAGGGGTTGACCAGAGCACAGGGAGGTTGGGTCACACTGGGAGTGACAGGTGCCTTGCAAGGCTTGGCAGGTGAGTGTTAGGTGTTAATGCATGGCAAGAGTGCAAACAACAGAGGGGACTTGCAGGAGCTCATTTGCTGTGGCTTGTGCACTCTGCTGACCCTCCAGAGGGTCAGGGTCTGGATTGACTTCATGAAAACATTATTAATAATTTATTAATCCTTTATAAACATACTCTGCATATAAAGTGTAGTAATAGTTCTGCTTCATCTCCTGTGCTGGCTGTGCACAGAGTGATGAAAGACATCTCAGACTGGCACAGAAAGAGTTTGAATTTGCTTCTGAAAACCAGGACAGAGGAAGAAGATCACCTGTTTGAAATGGGCACTGGGGGCTGGGTGCTGGTGGCAATGCCAGCCTGAGACAAGTCCCCCAGGAACACGGCCAAGGGCTGCTGGCTCACAGCAGATGACAAGGGTGCATGGGAGGATGTCCATAAAGATTTCTCTTGGGGTACCATCTCCAGCATTTGGGCAGGCACAGGAGAGCCTGGCAGGTGGGACGTGGTAGGATCTGCCTCAGGGCCGCTGCTCCCCCAGCCTGTTCCTCTGGGAGCTGCTGAAGCAGCAGTGGGGGTCAGCCAGCCTCTGATTTCTGGAGTGCTCCGGAGGGACTGGCAGCAGGACAATTTGTAGTGGAGACCAAGCTGGGGGCTGGACAGTGCTTGGCTTCTCCCCTTCTTGATGTGTACTGCGGCCAGAGAGAAAATGCTTCCTCCAATCTGCTGCCACTGAGAGGTGCATCCAGCAGGGATGGGAGGGCAGCACCCATCAGACACCCGGGCTCAGCCCCTGCCTGCTGCCACAGCACCTGTGCCACTGTCCCTGCACGTGCCCTGCTCCCAGTCCATCCCAGGCATCACTGCAGGGGCAAAAAAGGCATTGAGGGTGAAGCCCAGGAAGCCAAAGGATGTAAACGCTCCCCTGGAGTCAGGAGATGTCAGCCTCTTCACCAGCAGGGAGATCTCGGTGTGGTCTCAGGCTGGCGGGGGACAGAGGAGGTGGGGAGGCCCAGGAGGGCAGAGCCATGGTGAGGGCACAGAGTTCCAGCTCGGGATGTTCGGCTCTGCACTGCCCAGCTCTGTGCTTGTGGGGAGTGAAGGGGAAATGCTGCAGGTGGGCAGCAGCAGCTGCTACTACAGTCCAGGCTCCCTGGCCCAGAGCTAGGGGCTATTGCAACTAAGAAAGTTCATTTTGGCTTTAATCTTATTAAAAGAATTCATAACTATCAGCTGTTTGGGCTCACCACAATTCCTTCAGCTGAGGTCTCCAGCTGATATTAAGGGATGAAACATGGTGAGTGGAAGAACCTCTGGCGAAATCAGAATTTTCTGGAGTGTTGTGGGGGTATTTCTTGTCTCAGAGGGTGGGAATCCACGCTGTGAGCTGGTCATGAGCAGGATGCTTTCCCAGGGCAGAGGGTGCACAAGCAGTTCCTAAAAGGAGCGAACTGGGGGCAGATCAGCAAATTTCTGCTGGATTTGAAGCTGCCTCACTGTTGCTGGAGCCAGTGAAAAGCCTGGACCACGTTCTTCCAAAGACAGAAGGAGTCCATCACGGAGACAGGAGGGATTTGCATTAAAAATTAGCATTGCCTAGCAGTGGAATTTGTCCCTTCATGGGAAAGGATGCCATTTTTAGTGGGGAAAGATGCTGCCTCTGTCACAGCTGCTGTTACAGCAATCCTCTCACTCAGGCCTGCCCCATCCCGACCCATTGCAGTGGTTCCCAGATCCATCTTTGTCCTTACTTCAGCCTCTTCGCTCCGGCCTCCTCTTCAGCATCTCTTCACCACCATGGACGTGCTTTGGCCACCTCGGGGAAGCTGTGCAGATCCCTGCCTCGTCTCCCCTCCTGAGGACTAACACCAGGCAGACAACGACCCTCAGCTTTACAGTGCCTCTTCTGAGTGTACAGGTACAGAGAGGAATATAGAAATATACACACACACACATACAGGCGTGCCCTGTGCATGTACCCTGTATGGGGATACAGTGTGGCTGGGGTAGCTGGCTGGTTCCAGGACCAAAGGGCTTGCTCAGGTGGGACCACCAGCCACGGTGATGCCACCCCAGGCTGGCCACCCCTCGTGGCACGGTAGGCAAGGGCTCTGGCGCGGCGCTGGGACGGTGCTTTGATTCCTGAGATTCCTTTTAAAGTTGATTTTAAAAAAAAAAACACCGTGAGGCACCAGGAGCTGCCTGGCTGACCCAGCCACGGAGATTCCACTAGCGCTTTCAACCACAAGCCCCTTCAGGACTGGCAGTGGGGCATTATCTTATCATGGTAAAATGTAGCTTAAAAATCAAGGAGAGGGAGGAGCATTCGCTGGTTTTGCAGGGCAGAAGCATTATTTAGTGTCATTGATGACATTTTCCTAAAAATCCCAAATCTTGTGGCTTCATTGCTCTTGTCACTCCCACTCAATGTCTCTGTGACATCCCAGCCAGGCTGTACATGGAGTGGTGATGTGAGGAAAGGCACCGATGTCACAGATTTATCAGGACAAACAGGTTTCACCAGGAACGGGTGGATTTCAGGAAGAGGTGATTTCACTGGAAATTCTGATTTCCCGCGTGAAGGCTGCCGAGGCAGCCGGGGAGGGGTAGTGTGGCCCTCCGCGCCGGCGGCTCCGGGAGTCGTGACCCAGACGGCACCGAGGGCGAGGGGCACGGTGAGGGGACAGGAGGGAGATGAGGAGTGCGGGCCAGGCGTGCGGGCGCGGGGTGTGAAGCGAAGCCGCCGCCGTGTCCCCGGTGTCCGTGGGGGCCGCTCCCGGGGCCGGGCCCGGCCGGGGGGAGCCCCTGGGCGGCGGAGCGAGGTCAGTAGTTGCAGTGGCGCTGGCAGGGCTGGTGGACGAAGGCTCCTGGGAGCTGCTTGGCGCGGCGGGGCGGGCGCTGCCGGGCCCTGTTCTGCCGCTGCAGCGCCTTCTGCGCCAGGCGGTGCCGCTCCGCCATCTGCCTGGCCCGCTGCGCCCGCTGCGCCTGCCCCGCCTTGTCCAGCGCCGCCGCCTTCACCGCCAGCGCCCGGCCGCGCTGCGCCGCGGGCGGCTCCGGCCGCGCCTCCGGGACGGGCCTGCGGGGACAGCAGCGGGGACAGCGGGTCAGCTCCGCCCGGCAGGCGGGGACAGCGGGGACAGCACCGCCCGGCAGGCGGGGACAGCGGGGACAGCGGGGACAGCGGGGTCAGCACCGCCCGGCAGGCGGGGACAGCGGGGTCAGCACCGCCCGGCAGGCGGGGACAGCGGGGACAGCGGGGACAGCGGGGTCAGCACCGCAGCACCGCCCGGCAGGCGGGGACAGGCCACCGACTTCCGGAACGGCCCTCCTGCCCCACGGCCCTCCTGCCCCACGGCTCTCCTGCCCCACGGCCCTCCTGCCCCACGGCCCTCCTGCCCAACAGCCGGCCGAGCGGAGCGAGGCTCCAGGAAGGCAGGCTCTGGGACACCCGAGAAAATCAAGACACCACCAAAAACTCCACTGTGCCTGCGTCCCTTGAGCCTGGTCTGTCTCCATCCCGCTGTGACCCCTTTGGAGCCTTGCTAGTCTCAGGTTCCCTTTAGCCCTTTTTGCCCCCTCCAGCACTGAGGTGCTCCAGAAGCTCTGGACATCAAGCTCTGCCCCTCAGGGAGACTTTGGAAAGAGAGAAGTCCTGAAGGAATGGTGTCACCTAGACAGGAATGGTGTCCACTAGCCAGGACCGGTGTCATCTAACCAGGAATGGTGTTCCGGCCAAGAATAGCAACCCCCAACTAGGAATGCTGTCCTCTAACTAGGAATGCTGTCCCCTAACCAGGAACAGTTCTCCTGGCCTGAAGCAAAGCTCACCCCAAATTCTTACTCCTCCCCTGCCCCACCAAGGGCTTCAGGGGTGGTGTTGGAGGGCTGGGACTGAGGGGAGAGCAGAGACCCGGGACCCCGTGGCACGGTGACAGCCACGGCAGCAGTTGGGCTGAGCATGGGCATGCTCCAGGTTTTCCTTGGCGGCTGCTGGGCAGGGGAGAGCAGCCCTGGGGGGAGGGCAGAGCTCCAGGATGTGGGCCCAGGAATAGGAGTGGAGGGCTCCAGCGCACCGGCCTGGGGGGGCAAAGGGGCTATTGGGGCATTTCTGTTTAATTTCCCCACTGCTAAGCTGGGGTTTGGGGCAGGGAGAAGTGTCCCACTCCCCACAGCTGTGGGATACCCACCCCCTGCTGGGCCAATCTGGAGACAGGTGGGGGGTTGAGGGGGGCTGCAGCACCCTCCTGCCTGAGGGGTGCCCCTGTGCCCCAAGGCCACCCTGTCCCACTGGGCTTGCTTTGCTCGGGCCATGCCTGTGCAAACCCCCGGTGTAAGCCCTGCCTGGCAACCCCCACCCGGGGCGGGTGGCAGGGTGACAGCTGGCACTGGCACTGGCAGGAGTGGCCTTGACAGAGGTGGCCGTGCCAGGAGACCCTGCTAAGGGCAGGGGAGATGAACATAGCCCTCTCCCAGCACAGCCCAGTGCCAAGCTCAGCCCTGGCCATCCGAACATGCTAATGAGACCCCTTAGCAGAGGATTTTGGGACTTGGGGGCTGCCAGCCATGCATGGTGCCAGCTGGGGCACCCTGCCAGATATGCAGAGTGTTCCCTGAGGTAGGCATGGTGACACTGATATCCCCACTGCCACACTATGCCCACGGGTGAAACATTTCTGGGTGTAGGCAGGTGTTTGGGATGGCAAGACTGACCATGCACCCCTGGTCCCTCAGTGGGTGCTGGGGCTGCTGGCCCCCCAACACCCTCACAGTGCACTCACTCTGCAGCATCGTCCTCGGGGCCCTCCCCATCCACCTCGAGGGTGCTGGTGACATAGACGGACATGCTGGGGTGCTCGATGAGCAGGTCCTCCATGGGGCTGCTCTCCACGCCGTCGGGGCCGGGCTCCTCTGCAGTAAAACAGGGGGGAGGGGTGACAAACCAACTCTCGTCCATCAAGCAGGGACCGGCCGGAACCGGGGAAGCAGCCAGCGGCGGCGGGCGGGGTCGCGCCGAGCGCCCGGTGCCACCGGCAGCCGCGCGGCGGGCGGGCCCGGGGCGGGCACGGCTGCCTGGGGCGGGGTGCAGAGCCATGCGGGGCGCAGCGGGGACACACACATACCATGTACAGTGGGAGGGACGGAGGGAGGGAGGGAGGGGGAGAGAAAGGGGCATCGTTAGTGCGAGAGACTCCCACCGCCAGCACGCCGCTACTCGCGGGCCCGCGCCAGAACCCCCCGTCCGGCACGGAAACGGCTCTGCCGGCACAGGCTGACCCACAGAGGTGGGACCCCAGCTAGGTTTACTGCAGCAATGGGTTTTTTCCTTCTCAAAAGGAGAGAAGAAGTCCAGGCAGTGAAAAACGCTGCTTTCCCTGTTCTGATGGCACCTGAGCCGGGCCGGGCCGGGCCGAACCGGGGGAACGCGGACACGCCGGTGCTCACAAACACCAGCAGCACTCCGCAAACACGGAAACCAAGCACACACAGCACAAAAACAGTCCACACCTTTTCTCTGGAAGAAATCATGGGAATTAATTCTTCAGCAAAGGTTTTCACTGTGCCTTCAACTCCAGCCTGTTAGAGGCCAAATTTTGAGTGGCTGATACAGAAGCTGACACCCTCCGAGCCTCCCATGCCTTCCCTTCCTCACCTCCACCTGGCAGCTGCACTTGGGCCAGTGCTTTTCTAGGCTGCCTGTGCTTGGAATTTCTGGCTGTAATGCGCAGGGAGCATGCACCAAATGTGGGGACACCCACACCCATTCCCAAGTCACCAGGGGGATTGGAAGGAACTGCTGAGGGGGGAGGCTGTGCAGTATCTACATGGACCCTGCAGCTGGATGAGGGAGCAGGAGGAAGCACAGATGAAACAGAGCATGGCGCTGGGTATTCCTGGCTCCGTGCATCCCCAGCTCCTCCTGCAGCTGATGCTCCAGCCCAGGACTCAGGACAGGCCACAGCTGACCTTACAAACACAAGAATGTCTTTTGCCAGCTCAAAGGATATCAGCCTATTAATAGCTGTTAACATGCCGGGCTGGAGCGTGTTTGTCAGCCTGGGGACAGCCACCGAGCTCAGCTGGAGCAGCACTCCCACAACAGGGCACGGAGATCATCCTGGGCACTGTGCCCATCCTTTGCCAAGGTGGGGTTTAATGTCACAAAGCAGTATTTTGGGATCCTCAAGTATCTCAGTAATACAGCCACATCCTGAGAAATGCTCTTTGCTCTCTCCCTGGGTGCTGAGCAGGGCCAGGCTAAGCAAGGGGGCAGGGGCAGCATCAGAAACATTCCAGGAAGGCCTGAGTAATTCGGGTGCATTTTGCAACACAGGGGGCAATGACCAGGCTGACAGAGGCTGAATCCAGAGGCTCCCTAGGCTGCCTCTCTGCTGCTGGGAGGGAGCCAGGCTGGGAGCTGCTGCTGGCCACCACAGCTCCAAGGGAAAGGATGGGGCTCTAGGCTTGGTTCTTGCAGTGTTTGCTATACTCAAGCCCCAGAAACGGGGCTGAAAGAAACTGGTCCCTCAGTGTTCAGGGACTGCTGTGGGAACAGACTGCAGCTGAATTAGCAGTGGGGTGCCATTCATAGGCAGACACTGCTGGAAGCCAGCGCAGCACCGAGAGCCGAGGCGCTTCACTGGGAAAACATGGGAGCGTTTTGTGCCAGAGTCAAGCTCTGGTCCCCTCTGAGCCATCTGCAGCCTTCACCCAGGGATCAGGGCACAGCGTGGCGTTTCTCTGGCTGGGAAGCTCCTGGCTCCTCCTGGCATGCCTTAGGCACACCGCAGCTGCTGCCAGCTGGCCCTGACACATGTCCCTGTGTGCCCACTGCTCCAGGGACCTCCTTGCAACAGCCCCCTGCCATGGCACTGCTGTGACCCTCCCTGGACAGTCACCTGAGTGCCCAGAAGACAGGGAAGCCTCCACAACTGCCCTTGCCCACACCACCCATCACCTCCAGCAGCTCTCCACCAGGCATGGGGCTGGCCCTGTCCCCTAGCTCAGTCTTGTCCCTGCTCTGGTCCCCTCTCCAGGTCACCACATATGAGAAAAAAAAAGCCTAATGAACAATCTGAATAACAAAAACAAGCATGGGGAACAGGCAGGGAACATCTGCTCAGAAACCTGCTGCCTGCAAGAGGGAGGACAAACCCCTCCTCCTAAACCTGCAGGACACATATGAGGTCCCCTAAGCTGGAGCCTCACAACCAGCCAGGGGCTACCAAAGCAGAGCACAGCCATCAGGAGCTCCTGCACAGGCAGGAGCGTTTGTCTCTGATTGCTGCTGGATTTGCAAGGAAAAGGTCATAAAAACATCATTGCAATTGGCTGAGTCATCAATCTACAACAGAAACTCCCAAGGTCTGAACAGAGCTGGAGAAGATCTGCACAGGAGGAATTCAATCTGCCTGGTTGGTGTTACACAGGGCTCGGGATGGCTCTGGGAATGGGGAGCCCTGTGGGCTCTCTAGGTACAGGCACCTGGTGCCAAACATCCCTTGTGCTTGGCATGGACAGCGGGAATAATTTGGGAAGATAATGCCAATGGAGCTGAGATTTACTCTTCTCAAAGGACCCAAACATGGCCAGATCTCTGGTGCACATCCCCAGCTGGAACAGGTAGGCACCACTGCCACCTGCCCTCCCATGGGGACATGTCCCCCCACTCCCCTGCCCAGGACTGGGGCCTCCCAGGGGAACGGGCTCCTGGTTTGCTTTCAGCAGGGGCAGGGCAGGGAGCAGCTGAGCTTGTCTCCTCCTGGAAACGTGCTGCTGTCCAGGGCACAGCCCAGGCCATGGCAGTGCCCAGCCTGCCAGGGATGGGCCCCCACCCCACTGACCCCCATGGGCAGGATCACCCTAAAACCCTGGGTGATCTCCCTGCCTTACCAGGCTCCCCTCCTGGCATGGAGGTACCTGGAGGCTTCTGGGCAGCAGCAAGTCCAGCTGCAGATGCTGATGCTGCTCCCACACTAGCAGAAAGTTGAGAACCACCACTGGGAGAGGAAAGGGGAAAAGGAGCAGCAGGTCAGGGGGCTGCAGTGACCACAGAGCTGGGCACCACGGGCAGAGCAAGGGGACCAGGGGAGAAAAAATGAAGGGCAGAGCTGTTCCCTTGTGGTATAATCTCATCTGCTGATATAAGGGTTTGCCCAGCTCTGGAGAGACAAGGTGCCCCAGAGGCTGTGGGAAGAAGTTCTGTTGCTTTGCTCACCTGCAAGATCAATTATGAGCCAGCCATCCTCCTCCTCCTCTTCCTCAACAAAGGGTTTGGGCTCCTCCAGGCCCTCTGGTGTATTGCTGTCACTGAAGAAGAGGCTGGTGAGACGCTGAAACATGGTGGAGAGCAGTCCAGCAGAATGGACAGGGAGACAAAGCTACTGCTGGGCACCAGCTTCCAGGCACAGATGCAGGAGAGATGGGCAGGGAGGGAAGAAAGAGCCCTCGAGGTGTCAGTGACAGAGATGTTTGGCTGCCAGGGAAATCAGAGCTTAGTGGTTCACAGTGCAATTGTGAGGTGCTTCACTTGGCTTCAGTGCAAAGGCCTGGAAAAGGGAGAGAAAAAGGAACAGCACATTAAAACAGGCAGGGAGTGTGGCCCTCCTGCATCCCAGGGGCTCAGATGGGCTCAAGGGGACAGCAAAAAGGTGCCTCTGGCACTGATCTGTGCTATGGGCTGTCCCAGCTGGTGCTGTGTCCAAAGCAGCACTGGGTGCCTGTGCCCTGCAACCCCCACCTGCATCAAGCCCCATTGTAGCCCCATCTTGGTGGGTGGGGTGTCCCAGGAGACCCATCCCCAGGAGCTGGCAGGGATAGAGGAGACACTGTGCCTAAGTCTGTCAAACATGCCAAGCTCCTGGCAGCAGGCAGGACGAGGATAGCATTGTCACAGAATCCTAGACTGGTTTGGACAGGGAGGGACCTTGAAGGCTCATCTCATTCCACCCCCTGCCATGGCAGGGACACCATCCAGTATCCCAGGCTGCTCCAAGCCCGGTCCAGCCTGGCCTGGGACACTTCCAGCTATCCAGGAGCTGCCACAGCTTCTCCGTGCCAGGGCCTCCCCACCCTCACAGTGAAGAATTCCTTCCCAATATCCCATCTAACCCTGCCCTATGCCAGTGGGAAGCCATTCCTTCCTGTCCTGTCACTCCAGTCCCTTTCCAGATCTTTTGGAGCCCCTTTAGGCACTGGAAGGGTCTCCCTGGGTCCTCCTCTCCAGGTGAACACCTCCAGCTCTCCCAGCCTGTCCCAGAGCAGAGGGGCTCCAGCCCTTGGAGCACCTTTGTGGCCTCTTCTGGACTCACTCCAGCAGCTCCACATCCTTCTGATGCTGGGTCCCCAGGGCTGGAAGCAGCTCTGCAGGTGGGGGCTCACCTGAGTGGGCAGAGGGGCAGAATCCCCCCTCACCTTTGCCCACCCTGTGAGGACAAGCCCAGGATGCTGTTGGCTCTCTGGGCTGCCAACACACACTGTTGTTCACATCCAGCCTCCCATCCCAGCCCTTTGTGGGTCTCTGCTTCACCTCTGCTCAACTCATCACTGTTTTATCCCTGGGAAAGCAGATTCCCTCCAGTGTGGGGGGAGGTCAGCACTCATTAATTTCATTAATGTCTGCCAAGCTCATGGCAAGGCACAGGAGTGGCATCCAAAAGGTACATTTGTGTGCTATTTTGTGCCTCCTGGTCCAGAGACATTAGAAGAGGATGAAAATGCCATAAAATGCCACCAGGAGCTCAGTGCAGTGAGAAAGGACAGCTGGGCGCTGCCGTGCTTGGCACACTGATGCGGGTGCATTGAAAGGGCAAATCCCCATTTCATGGCAATGCCCCAGTTCAGGACTCTGTCAACCAAGGAGCCATGGAGCTTGAGTGATGTTCCACCCAGGAAAACTCCACCTGCCCCAGGCAGCAGGGAAAGGGTAGGGGACACCGTGTGTCCACCCCAGTCCTCCAGCAGGACAAGTTCTAGCTCAGCCCTGCTGCCCCGTGGCTTCCCCAGCCCCAGCACCCTGGGAAGGTGGCTGGCCTGGACACTGCAGTTCTGGCGCTCAGGCACTCTTTTATTCATCCCTGTGGGATGGAAATGCCTTTTGCAGTCTCTCAGGTGCCTTGGGAGGAACCACATCTGCTCTACAATGCAGAAAATGAGAAACCAAAGGAGCCTTCCCTCAGGATGGGACCCCTTGGAGCTCAGGGGTTCTGATCTCAGACACTTCCAGATGCAGAAGGGAGTGATGGAGCACGAAGCAGCCCTGCAACAGCCAGCTCTCCCTCCCTGGCACGGCCAGGGCAGCAGTGTGACACCACCTGTCCCCTAGGGCAGGTCCTTGGTGGCTTCAGTTGCCGCAGAGGCACAAGGCAGAGCATGGCCCACAGCCATGCCCTGCTGCAGACAGCAGCGCTCAGGGCTCCAGCCCAGCTTCCCACGCCAGGATGGCTCAGCTGAGACTCTCTCTCTCACCAGGAAGAACAGGAGCTCAGGCAGGACTCTGCTCTGTGTCCTGAGTGGGTCCCTGGCTTCCCCTGGAGACACTGAGCAGGGAGGGGCACTGAGACGTGACAGAGTTGTTTCTCTGACCCCACAACAACCACAGCCATGCTGTTACCCTCCAGTGCTATCAATTAAATCAGTCAGACACCCCCCTCACCTGGATCATTAGAGCATATTAATATACTCCAGGGGAACAACAGGCAGAGGGGCTGGTGGCCAGCTGGGCCCTGAGTGCACTCTGGTGTGCTCGGCTCCAAGCACAGTGGGAGCTCCCTCCCTCCCACAGGATGTCCACGTGCCTCCATTCCCACCGGGCAAGGCTGGCAAAGGCCACCCTGGCCAGCCCTGAGGGCTGTGGCACACAGCCACAGTCTCAGCACAGCAGCTCAGCCTGGAAACCTGGCACCTGCCTGAGCACTCGCCTAGGCAGTACATGCCTTTTAATATGACATGAATATTACTTATCTAAGAAGTTTATTAAATATCTAATTGTGGCAGAAACTCCACAGCTCCCAGGTTCCTGCTGGTGATGTTCCAGAGTCTCCCACTGTTTGCTGCTCCCCAGGTGCCTGGGCAGGAGAGCTGGGGCAGCTCATGGCAGGCACAGGGGACACAGGGGCCAGACCCTTGAGACCACCATGGCCCTGGCTCAGTGTGAGGCCAGGACTGGGTTCATGTGCTTATTGAGCTGGGGCATTGCCAGGCTGGCAGAAGTGCTGAGCCAAAGCTGACCCCGGTGTCACCAGGCAGGTCCTCAGGATGACACAGTGGGGATGGGGACAGCAGGGTCTCCTGTGCTGTGCCCCAAGCCCAGGACTAGTAGGACACTGCCAATGCTCTTGACTTACCTCGTGCAAGTGTCACTTTGTCTGCTGCCCAGATGTCACCCAAGAGCAGAACTGGGGACAAGGTCTGTCACACCGGGACAGGGGATGACAGTGGCCCCAGTTTGGCTCAGGGCAAGGTAACCCAGAAAAGCACCCAAGCAGGCAGAGATTTTCGCTGTTGCCAAAGACAAGTCAGACTGGAATGTCTTACTGCAGTGAGTGCTTCCCATGCTCTGCAGCCTTGGCTTTGGGAGCCCCCTGCCAGTGGCTCATCCTCCAGCAAGTTCAAAGCCAAATGACCCCTGACATGGTCAAAACCTTTCCATTTTCCTTTGTTAAATCATGACAAAAGCTTTCACAGGACAGCAGGAAAGCACCTCCCTGCTTAGGGACCGGTCCCCAGAAAATCACAGGAGGGGAAGTAAGGTACCTGGATTCCTCAGGTGTCCACCCCAACCCAGAGGTAATTTGTCTTTTCTGAGGACACAACAGACACTGTTATTTGTGATTGTCCCCTCTCCCAAATCTAACTTCTTAAGTTAAGGCACAGGGGCCCACAGGCAACTGCTACAGCTCTGGAGGAAGTGGGAGAGAATTAGAAGTTCTCCCAAGAGCAAAATTCGAAATGGATAATTTTAAAGGTTCATTCCCCAAAGAATTTCAAGTAAGTCTCTAACTGTCACCCTCCCCAGGGCAGGGAACATGGGGTGGCCCTGACCCCTTTCCTGGTGCAAGAGAGACTGTGCCATAGGTGGGCTACAGTGGCAGGACCAGCCCCATGGTGGTGCCCAGGGAGCTGCAGGAGGATCCTGGCAAAGCCTTCAGGATCAAACCAGGAGGGTGAAGGCAGGAGCGAGTCCAAAATGCAGGCAAGGGCCAAAATGAGCATTAATCCTGCCCCTCACTTTACCCTGTCTCTGAAAAACTCAGGTCAAAGCATCAGGATGAAGCTCTGATCTCCAGGACTCTCAGCAGGTTTGAGGGTGACACTGAGCTGTGTGGAGCAGCCAGTTCAGCAGATGGGAGGGATGGGGCACCCAGAGGGTCCTGGGCAGCCTGGAGGAGCTCACATGAACCTCATGGAGTTCAACCAGGCCAAGTGCAAGGTCCTGCACCTGGGTCAGGGCAGCCCCAGCACCAGCACAGGCTGGGGCTGGCTGGGTGGGGAGCAGCCCTGGGAGAAGGACTTGGGGGTGCTGGTGGTGACAAATTGGATGTGCCCTGGCCATGGGCACTGGCAGCCCAGAAACCAATCCTGCCCTGGGCTGATCCCACAGTGTGGGCAGAGGGGAGGAGGAGATTCTGCCCCTCTGCCCACCCAGTGAAACCCCACCTGCAGAGCTGCCTCCAGCTCTGGGGACCCAACGCCAGAAGGATGTGGAGCTGCTGGAGTGAGTCCAGAGAGGCCAAGGGCTGGAGCCCCTCTGCTTTGGGACAGACTGGGAGAGCTGGGGGTGTTCACCTGGAGAAGAGAAGGCTCCAGGGAGACCTTGGAGCCCCTTCCAGTGCCTAAGAGCTGGAGAACAACTTTGGACAAGGGGAATGGCATCGCACTGTCAGAGGGCAGGGTTAGATGGGATATTGGGAAGCAATTCTTGACTGTGAGGGTGGGGAGGCTCTGGCACAGGGTGCCCAGAGCAGCTGTGGCTGCCCCTGGATCCCTGGAAGTGTCCAAGGCCATGCTAGATGGGGCTTGGAGCAGCCTGGGACAGTGAAAGGTGTCCCTGCCATGGCAGGGGTGTGGGATGAGAAGCTCTGTCCCTTCCAACCCCAGGCACTCTGTGAGTCTGCAATCTCCCACCCCACTAGCAGGGAGCAGCTCCTGGCCTAGGAGACCCTCCTGGCAGCCACCAAGCTCCTCCATCAGTTCATCGTAGGGGCTTGGGTGACCTGCTAGCCCTTCACAAGGCAAGAGACTCCTTGGCCAGCTCCTGCCCAGTCAGATGGCCACATGCCACCTCCATCCCCGCAAGCTCCACCACGCACTTCTCTGGCTGGAGCAGCCAGTAGCAGATCAAGCTCTGAAGTTTATCCAGGTATTTGAAAAGCCTCTGCTTTCCCTGCAGCAAACATTCTCCCCATTTATACCAGGGCATGGAGGGCTGGCAGCCTCAATGGGAACTGCAGAGCAGGAGGGACCCAAATGTGCCCCTGACAGGGGACTGAGGTCAACCTGTGCCTTGTCACCAGGCAGAGGTGGTGCCCACAGAACCAGTTTGGACCAAGAGATGTCTTCTCTTCCTCTCAGGTCCCTTCTTCCAGCTTTCTTGCACCTGCAAGTGCCCCACATCAGTGGGGGAGCTGTGTCCCCGCTCAGGACACAAGGGGCTTGCCCATATACCACACCCTGGGGCTGAGCTGCCCCAGAAACCACACACTGACCCCCTGCCCCCTGCCAGAGCTGCGGCCACCACCACAGGACAGCTGCCATCCTTCCAAGGCTTCCACAAACCCCCTGACCCAGCATGTCAACCAGGCACTGCCAGCAAAAGGGGACAGCCCACCAGGGACACTCACCTGGAGACAGACAAGTTTCTAAATTAACTATGTCCATCAGATTCCTTCCGGAAAGTCCAACAGCCTTTTACAACAAGCCAGAAGTTATTAAAAATATTAAATTTAAAGTAGAAGTAAGGAAACCACAATGCATCAGAAACCTTGACAGAATAATTAGTTTTCTGAGTCAGCGTGGCCGCAAATAACCCCAGGAGCTAAGAACAGGGAGCAGGCTGGGCAGCAAAGCCCCGGGATGCAGCAGGAGCTCATCGGGGCAGAGGCTGCAGCGCCCCAGGACTGGTGGCGCTCACAAGTCACAGTGTGCAAGAAAACAGCAACTCCCCTTGGAAATGGCAACAGGCTCCCTGAAAGTTTCCATAAATACCCGGTGGCAGGAGGGATGCTGCGGGAGCAGCCCTTCCTCAGCACAGCCAGCCCAGCAGGAGGCCGAGGCACAAATCAGGTGCCTTCCTCCAACCCCCTCGGGAAATGGGATTTTCAACTCATTTTTCCTACATTAGACAAGTGTTTCAAAGGCTCGCTGTGCTGGATGTAGGAAAATCCTAAACGCAGCACAGAAACACAAAACACAGAGGGGATCCAGCAGCTGGACAGCTCAGGGGAGTTCTGCTCATCACCCCAGAAATGACCAGTGAGTTATCCCTGGGCTGTCCCCCACCCCTCCCCATCAAGGAAGGGACCAGAGGTGGCAGGAACTTGCCTGGGACAGTTTGGTGGGGCTGAATTAACGTTGAATTTGGTCCCATGGCTGTGCTACAGGTCCAGCTGATCCCATTGCTCTGCCAGCAGGCCCATGGATGGGATTCCCTTGGGGGAGCCCTGGGAACAGGGGCAGAGCTGCACCCCGAGGTGCTGCCAGCACGGACAGACTGATTCCAGCAAAACAGAGGCTGAAGCTGAGCCAGAGCCTCTTCCATGGCAGATCAGGGGAGTAGAGGGGGGGAAGGCAGAGAGCAGTTTGAAAAATCCCAAAAAACTCTTCATCAACTTATTAAAGCAGACCAAGACAGAAGGTGGAAGAGCTTTCCTCAGCCAGTCCAGGGTCTCAGCAGGGACTAGAGCTCCCACATGCTCCTCCAGATCCTGCCTGAAGGAGGGGGACCCTACAGAATGAGATGTTTTTCTCAGAGTTGGTCTCTGCATGCACAGCAGCTCTTCTGTTCACTGCTGCACAAAGGTCCTTACCCCAAGGGCAAATGTGACCTCATGCTGCTTGATATCATCACACACAGTCCTGGCAAATCTGCCAGGGGCTGGCAGAATCTTGGAAATTTTAGATTTGTCATGAGTCATGCTATGAAATTTTAGAACTTTCCACTCTGGGATGCACTGGGTGAAGCATCCCAAGCAGTGAAGCATCCTGAGGAGCTGCACACTGGGAGGGAGGGGAGCAGCCCAGCCTTACAGCCCCCACAAATCACAGAGGCTGAACAGCAGCTGGTACGCTGGACTTGGACACCACAAGAACCCTGAGCTCCCCAGCAGCTCCCTCCAAGCCCACTCAGGGCCCCCCTCACTGGAGAGGATTCGCTGTGCAGTCAGCATTAAAAACCCCTTAGATACAAGTTTGGTCACAGGGTTGTCCAGTCTAATTACAAGCAGGTAATTACCATTGCACAAGCAGGTGTTACCATTTTATTATCTGAGGGAAAAAAACTTGTATATTTTTCCTTTTTTGTTCACCCAGATAAGCAGCAGCTCAACGCAACAGGTTCCCAACAGTGAGCTACAGCAGACAGCTTTTGGTTTTTTTTTGTTGTAGGTTTGTTGTTTGAGGGGGAAGAAGGGGAGTATTTTGTGGGGAGGAAATATAAAAGGAGAGAAAAGTTTTATTTTAGAGCAAAACAACACATTTCTTGGCACTCTGTAGATTAAGCCTGGTGGGAAAGGAGGTCCAGCATAGTCCTGTACCAGAGCCCAACACCTGTTTCTGGGAGGGTTTCTGGGATTGTTTCCTTCCCCAGCAAAACCTTGGCTGAACAAGCTACAGCACTTGGCACCTGCCCAGCTCAGCTCTCTTTGGTGCTGCTTCAGCACCGGCTATTGCTGGCCTCAAGGAAGTTTAATCCACTATTTTGGGATGCCAGACTCTTTGCTCAGGTGCTCTAAACAGGGCTGTAGCTCCCCTACACAAATATGTATATGTATGTGCATAAAATAATTATAAGAGCAAAAATGTCCTTTTAAACCCGTTTCTACACTCCACAAAGTCCAAGTTTTTCCACAATGAGTCCCCCAGATGGGAGAAGCATTAGTTTCCAGGGCTTGCCAGGCCCAGCCAAGCTGAGGTGAGAGAAATGAAATCCAGAGGAAAGTTGCCCTTTTAGGACATGACTTATTTGAGCTGTCCCAAAGGAGGCGCCCTTAGAGCAGCGATAGCAGAGGGAGATGCTGTGTTTGGTACCTGAGGGACTCCTGGGATGCAGGGGAGTTGCCCCACGGCACAAACACTGCCAGCGTCCTCCCCCTCCACGCACGGCCCTTGCCCGGCCAGCACACTAAACTCAACAAAAATATCAAAGCATACATCTGAATTTTATAAAAACTGGTGGAATTTACAAAGGCAATCGAGATCTAAAGACAGAAGGATTTAAATCCAAAGCACCAAGGATTTGCTGGAAATAAGTTAAATAGATAATACTTTGTGCTAGAGATTTACATCTATTTGTATTCGCTACAAAAATTTATTTGATATAGTATACTGTATATGCTGTATTTCATACGGTATATAACATACAGTATAAGAAGGTGTCCCTACCAGGACACCCCCTGCAGGGGGTCGGAACGAGATGAGTTTTAAGGTCACACCCAAAGCGACTCATTCTGTGATTCTAAGACATATTTCATCTATTGACACATACTTCTATATTTACATTCCTTTTCCAAAACGCCACGTTTCGCACCCAGATCGTCTAAACATCACGCGGGGAGACACATCCCCGTTTCCTGCTGAGAAAAGCCGCAGCAGCGAAGGCGCGGGAGGGCCCCGGTGCCCCCACGCGTGACCACGGCGGGCGAGTCCCGCGTGCCGCGCCCGCCACCGCCCCGGGCCGGGCCGGGGGTCACGGCGGGACACGGGTGAGCGCCGTGACGTCTCAATGTCAAATGCAAATGAGTCACGTCACCGCAGCGCCGCCAATGGCAGCGGGGAACGACCGCCAATCTTCATCGGGTGAAGCAGAAACAAACAACAGGCGCGGGGGGGCCGACACCGAGAGGGGTCCCGGGCCGGCCCCGCCGGGGCTCGGTGAGCCCGCACAGCCTCAACCCCCAGGCCTAACCTCGGGGCGGCCCCACCGCGTCCCGCAGACACTCACCGGCGCTGCGTGTCCCGGGCGGCGGAAGACGCTGAGGTAGTGCCGGTGCGGTGCGGTGAATGCAGTGCCAATGCCGGTGCGGTGCCGGTGCCGGTGCCGGTGCGGACCCCGCGGTTCTGCCGCGCCGCTCCCCCTCACAAATCGGCACCTTCCCACAGCTGATCGTGACGTCACAAAGCGGCCCCGCCCACCACCGCCGCCGCAGCCAATGGGAGCGGCCGCGGGGCCCGCCCGGGACGGGACCGGGACAGGGCGGCGGGGCCCGGGACAGGGCGGCGGGGCCCGGGGCCCGACGGGGGGACAGGCCGGGGCCGGGCGGCCGCCCGGCCCCGGCCTGTCCCCCCGACGGGCCCCGGGCCGTGGGCAGAGGGGCTGGGGACTCCCTTCGCTGGCCCTGCCGGAGGGAAGGGACAGAGGCTTGAGGCTTCCCAGACACCCACTCCCCCCTCGCCGCTGCGCTGCAGAGGCCTCGTCTAAAGACAAGTTTTGGACACTAATGAGGGGCGAAACCCCTGGATGTGCCCCCGATCATTACCCACCTGCGAGGAGGATCAGGGCCTTCATGAAGAACATGTCCCTGGAGTGTCACAGCCCCTCAGGCGGCTTAGCATCACCAGGTTTGCCTTCGTCCTCAGCATGGGCTGACCGTGGCACCAAGGTTTGGTTTGACATGGTGCCAGACACGGCAGGATATTGTCTGTATAAAGATAGAACGTTTATTAAAACAGTCATTAATGGAGCCATTTGGGTGTCTGAGTCATGCATGGAACAGTTAGGACTCATCTGACACCACAGGTGAGAATTCCCCATTGTAAATTCACAAGAGGTAGAATTTAATTGTGTCTTATTCAACACGAGGTCACAAATTAAATAACATTTAGTCTTCTGTAATTGAAAGATCTTGCAGAAGAGTGTAAACCGTTTTGAGAAGACAGCTGCCACCCCACTTTGCTAGGAGGGGAGCAGAAGCCTCTAAAGCTTGAAACAGTCCTAAGCAGAAAATCCCCTTATTTGGGATGTCCATGGAGGGAATTGTGAGCTGGCCATGGCAGTTTCAGTGAATGCCCAAGGAACTGAATTTGCTGAGCATAGAGGGGGATGATCTGCAGAAGGCATCCACAAGTTACAGCATCACCACACTTGACCCCCAACCTGGTCCATGCCTGAAGCCAAGAGCTCCTGCTGCCCATGGAGGTTTATTTTACTGCTTCTGCTTGGCCTGGTTTCACATGGAGTGATTACAGGATGGCTCCTGCTGGCTGCAGCAGGAGTGCAGAAATTAACCTCTAATCCTGCTGCCATAGAGGAGGGCATAAATAAATGCAGCAAAACGATTCTCCTTAGGGTGAAACGTTCCAGGGTAAACTGCCCCATTTGTGCTGGCATATGCCCTAAAGCACAGGTTTAAATGGGATGCCCCTCTCTCCAGTCCTACAGGGATGGGAAATGCTTCAGTCTCTGCTGGACCCTGCCCTGGTCTCCAATTGCCAAGAGAGGGTGGCAGTCCCCTCCCAAGGCAGTGTGTAGCCCCAGTGATTTAGTACTGGAAAAGCACAGATGGTGAAGCAGAGGAAGGAGCTTTTCACCAGCCTGAGGCCATCAGCAGTGGCTGCCGAGCCCTGCTGTGCCTGGCCAGGGCCTGTGACCAGGGGCTCGAGGGTGGGTGTCCCCAGGGACAGCAGTGTCTGCTGACACTGAGTTAGGGAATGGAAACCAGAGTGCCTTCCCTGTGGCATCCTGAGGTAGGATGGAGGGACAGAGGGCATGACCTGGTTTGGACTCTCGCATGGCCCTGGCCTTCAGGTCACTGGGAAAGTCACGCTGAGTTGAGCTGCAAGGCCTGAGGTGGCTGTGGCTGGAGAGGATGAGCAAGCAGCTGACTGCACCTCACCTGCCCGCAGGTAATGGGGAGTTAAGTGGGGCCTTGTGTGTCACAGCACGAGCCCACCTCAGCAGCTGCCTCAGGCTCTGCTGCTCAGGAGCCTAACTGGAGGCACTCTGTGAATTTGGGTGACTGCTGAAAATAGGAAGGTGATCACACTGTCTTCTGCTTCATCCAGGAGGTTTTGGAAGCATCACTGAGAACCTCTGGCAAGGTGCAGGGCCAGTGTGTAATGCATGTGCTTCATTTCACCCAGCAAATGGCATGCAAAGCAGGCAAGGTACTCATCATAGAATGGTTTGAGTTGCAAGGGCCCTTAAAGATTGCCTAGCTCCAAGCCCTATTTACCTGTCCTTTATAAAAAAAAAAAAATGCTTTGTCCAGCTACCCAAAACAACAATAAGAGATCATGGAAATAATAGGATGTTTGGATCTTTGCAAACCTCTCCAGGAACACATCTCCAGTATTTGGCATTGACTGAGAAGGGGCTCCCAGGGCACCCCCCAGCCCCAGCTGCCCACTCTGGTTTCGCTGCAGGTGCCTGGGGTGACCTTGCTGCATCCCAAGTGCTGCTCCTGGCATCCCTGACACAAGTTTTCCTGGAGCCCAGGGAGCTCTGGCCCAGCCATTCCTCCTGGTGATGCTGAAGTCACCAGATAACTGCTGAGCACCTGAAGAAGCATTTCCCAGCCATGTCTTGGGGCTATGGGTCAGCAGCTGGCTCGGTCTTGGCAGCTCCCAGTTGCCTGAAGGCCACAATCTGAGTGTGCCACAGGGCTTGCTGCCACACCGTGAGCTGGGTGCTCATTAGCTGGGGCTAGGAAGAGCAGTTAATTAAGAAATACACATGCAGTGTACAGAGACAATCCTTCAACACAGGCTCTGTGCCAAACAGCAAAAACCAAGGAAATTACTCACAGAATATATTGAGCTGGAAGGGACCCAAAACAATTATTGAGTCCACCTCTGAAGTGAATGGCCCATACAGGGTCAAGACCTCACTTTGGTGTCATTGGCACCATGCTCTGACCAACTGAGCTAATCTCAGGGTCTTTATGAATGAGCAGAAGCAGCTTGTTCTCCTTCTCCATGCCACCATGTCCCAGCCTCCCCCATCCTGCTGAGAGCCCTTTGGGGCACCCACTCCAGGGCCCCAGGGATGTGCCCAGACCCACCCAGCCCCAGTGAAGCAGACTGGGATGTGCCACCAATCACCCACTTGCACCCCTGGTGTCTGTATGTGCCACACCTCAGCTCCTCAGGTGTCTATTCCCATGCTGCTTGTCCCTTGGGAGGGATTTTCCTGGAAGCTCCTGCCTGAAGTTGTTTGTCTTTGTTGTAGATCAAGAAAATGCAACATGCACTCTTCCACATCATTAAAAATCCTCATCAATCTCCTTGGGGGCTCCTCTGATACCTTGAGTGGTGGCACTGGGGACAAGAGGTGTACTCCTTACTTAAACTGGGAAAGACCACCAGTCCCTGAGTAGACTCAGTGTCTTGCTGGGCTTTGGTGGCCAGAGTAAGGTCCATGAGGCACAGGCTCAGCATGGCTTCTCTGCCACTGCCTTGTCCCTCCCAGAGATGCCTGAGACCTCTCTGGCTCAGGTGGTCTCCATCCCAGGTCCACAGGACTCCACAGCAGTGTCTCCTCCCTCTTCTCAAAGGGATGATGGCAGGGAGAAGTAGCTGTGTCCGGCCAGACACACCCCCAGCTGAAGGGCTCAGTTCAGCCCCTGCCAGGGGCAGAGCAGTGTGGATGTGGTGTGGCTCAGGTGGGTGGTAAATGGGGGTTGTTACCAACTTTGGTAACTTGCTGCCTGGTGGCTGGGACGCCACTGCTCCCAGCACCCCAGTGCTCCCAGCACAGGGCTTTGTATCGGCTCCCAGCCCCCAGCGGGCCCAGAGATCTCTGCCCAGCCCCCTGGCCTGCACTGGAGAAGAGCTGAGAGGCACTCAGGAAACCTGTGGTTATTGCCAGGCTGGGGACAGTTCCTTTCTGGGACACCTGTGGGACATGGATGTGCTCTGCAGTGGGAAGGAGCTGCTCTGTGCTGCACGGCCTGGATGAGAGACAGTAACCCGAGCCAGGTGCAGAGCAGATAGCTGATGATCATATCTATGGGGCAACCACCACCCTCCAGCCCCATAAAACCTCCTTGTGCCACCTGTAGATATCCACAGCCCATGTAGCACCCGAGGGTGGGGGGAAGAGATGGGGCTTGGCTCCCCAGCTGCTCTGCCGTGGGAGAGGGCAGCAGGCCCCATGGTGCACTCCCATCCCAGAGAAACTGCCCAGCACCTGAGATGGGGATGGTCCATGAAGAGCCTGGGATCTGCCTGAGGCTCTGAGTGTGGCTTTCCAGCAGTGAAGGAGCATGGAGGAGTTTACCTAGAACAAATACTGTGAATGCCCTCTGGGAATGACCACAGCCAGGAGGTGACCTCACTGGAAAGAAATCTGGGTGTTACATTTGCACTTCTCTAACAAAAAGACCTATTTCCCAAAGATGAACGTGGGACAGAGGTTTTGCATTTGTCGCATAAAAAACAGGCTTACTTCTATATTTAGAATTTGGGTCACCAGCAGCTTTCTGCCAGGAGACATCAAAACAACTTTGAAAAACAGGGCTGCAAACCGGCTTTGGGCCAGGCACCCGTGTCCGGTCGGGAAGCTGCCCAGGGGGAGTGACCAGAGGAGAGGTTGGCCGCCTTTGGCAGCAGTGCCCGGCCGGGGTGGGGTGGGGTGTCCCTCCTGGCTGGGGACACTGCTGAGCCCCCTCCACGGGCAGCCTCGTGATCCCAGCCCGGAGGCGCTCTGACTCAGGGCACCCTGGACTGACACCTCCTTGTTTTTCACGAGCTCCTTGCTTGGCTTGGGGACAGAAGGAAATAGCAGCTGCTGAGATGAGCCCAGTAATTTGACCCAAGGCGATTTTGGAGTGCGCATCTCAGCACGGAGTAACCTTGCCTGTCGGGGTGCAGCAGCCGGGGTCAGTGCCTGTGAGGTTAGAGGATGGCGAGGGGCTGGACACGGCAGCACCAGTCAGCCCCTGCTGCTGCCAGAGCCCGGCGGTGGGAGCAGGCAGCTGCCACACACACGGAGAGCCGGCCGAGCTCTGCACTCTGCCTGCACTGCAGAGGGAGTGGGGAATGCAGCTGCTGCCCCACGGACAGCCACCGGCCAAGGTGGCTCCTGATGGGTCTCCTTCAAAGTGACTGATACCCGCTCCAGCCTTCCACACCGTGCCAAGAGAAGGAGCCTGCCCACCCCGCTGCCCCGCGCCCCTCCACTGCTGCTCC